TACTGCCGGTCGCCCCTCACAAAGCACTCTTGGGCCAGCAGTTTTGGTGGACCTGTTCGCAACCCGGCCATCCTAATCACCATCATGTCTCTCGGATCTACCCGTCGATGACTCTGCTATTATGGCAGGCTTTCAGCGTCTTTACCAGTGAACCGTTATCGAAGAAAAAACTAAGCTACCATTTCACGGTCCTTTTAGGCGGCTATCCACCTTCAGTTGCGGCCTCGGAACAACAACTCTCGAGGGTCAATCGCTGTACTTTGGCTCAACTACGCAGTGGCTACTCAATGCTCCTTCGCCAGTACCAACATCGCCTCGACCCATCCACACCCGACAGCTGTCCCCACTGCGGCGTCTCTCCACACGACTGTCAGTATCTTTTCGCCTGCGGTTTCCAGCCAGACACCCAACTCACCCCCGCAGACCTTTTGCTCAAGCCAGCCGACGTCTCGGCTTTTCTCTTCCAAATACAGCAAATTTGGACTCCAGCGGGGACTCTTGATGCAATAAGGGCGACGACACACACACTGGCGATGAAACTCTATGTTCGAGATGCAGTCGGTCATCCCGATTCAGAGTATTCCATTGAGGCGCCAGTTGGCCTCATTCTTGTCCGACCATATACTGTTCCGCTGGAGACGGTAGCATAGTCTAAGCTAGGCACCAGAGCACAAGTAGTACCGACTGAACACCTCACACCAGCAGATATCTTCACAACCACGATCCGCGTCCCACATATTGATGGGTTTGCCTTGTCAATATCATGCTTAAATGCAGATGGTTTAGCCGATGACACCGGTTGCAACAGCTTCTGGAGGGTCGGACGCCTGATTTCCTAGTACTCCTGAATTTCTCCTAGATTTACACCTCCCTCAGGAATAACATCCCGAGATGGTAGTAGTCGCCAATTAAATCGGCGATTTCACTATTTGCTTCGACTGAGTAACCTAAGACTATCATTTTTATTGTATCAACTTATTTTAAGCTTACTATGGCTGTTTTCTAGCCTAGTAAATACAATGCACGCTGCTAGCGGTGAAAGAGTCTGTCAGCCCGGTCTTGTCTTTAGTGGAAACAAGAGCAGTAACATACAGACTATGAATTAATGCAACGACCAGGCTGGTCCACTAAAACATGTAAAAATAACTCACGACAAAAGTCAACAGTACTGACCGAATAAAACTACTATGAAATTCATTATGTCCATGTCATATTCAGGTTTATTTGCTACTAACTGTGTGTTAGGAACATGACTTGTCCGAAGCATGTGTCTTAAAGGCCGCTTAGTCATCCCCCGTTGTCCCATGTCCTTTGGCCTATCTCCTAAGCCCCATGTTCTGGACCCGTGTCCTGTGCCCATTAACCTCGTTGACTGCCTTCGTGTTCATTGAAACACTGCGATCTTTATTCCCGTATCCTTATTCACCATGCTCCACGGCCCTTCTTCACCGCATCGTTTCCTTATTCGCATCCTCGTTCTTTGTTTCCTGCCCCGTTTCCTTTTTCCTTATAAACCGGCAGCAACGCGTCTGCGCCCCTCTAAGCACCTCGAATGAAGGTCCAGCTTCCTTTTGATATCTACCTCGCATTTTTTATCTATCGTGCACTGTTAATCTTACTGTTTATTTCCATAGAAGCACACCACACCACCGAGTTTTCCCGACTGTCTTTTGACATAGCTTTTGACCTCAGGTGCGTCTATTCAGGTGACGAAACTTACACTGAATCAGAAAGACTAAGCAATATTACTAATAACGCCGGGTGTGATACCAAAGAAACCAATAACTCCATATTCCGGCAGTGATCTTCGTCCTGTGACTGAATTGCTTCAGTGGCATGCTGCCACGTTACAGCATGAGGACCTATAGGAAAAGCCCGATCGGCAGAGCTAAACATAAGGGCAGAATTTACAGTAGGCGCAACAAAGTATTACTCGGGTCATCGGACACGGTCAGATGGACTTGTACCAAAATCGCAGCTATACTCGGATGTCGCGCCTTATCCAAACCGGACAGCAGTTGTCATGGTCGAAGTTGCTGGATTCAGTAGTCGAATCAAACCTGTCTCAAAGTGTACTTTCTAGCAGTAACATTACCACTGCGAAGGCAGATATATGTGGTTGGAGTGACTTCTATCTGCAACCACTCAGTGCTGAGGAGCGGTCGAGGCCCAATACTGGTCTGCCTGTTCACCATGGTCGGGCAACATGGAACGTGGAATTTAACCAAGCAGGCGCCAGAAGTTCGAGTGGCTCCGAAGACAATCACCTTTGGGACCGTTAACTCATAAGATTTTCTTACAAAAACATGTGCATTGGCCTACTCAATAGCAAGGCCTGCTTCAGTTATCATTAACGTTGGTTTAGCAGGACTAAGCGTCCACGGCATTGAGAACCAGGGGGCTAAATTCCCAAAAATCGAAGACTGATATGGTCAATATCCTGCAGTTTGTCCCCCCTTATAATGCATTTCTGAGGGCATACTTCTTTTACCAGTAAATTACTTTCGGCTATGAAAAACCGTGAATTTAGATGTTTCCAGTGTCAATGCAATGTAACAGAAGTGTTGTGGCAATCGAAATCAGCGAACAACAAGTGACTGGCAGAATATTTTCTAGGAGAACGACTGGTCTCAACGAATGCCCACAGCTATCTGCAGACTTTGAAGCGTTCCGGGAGGTGACTGATCTCCTCCGCTTGCTTGTTGGTGTTTTACTATACAGCAAGTATGCCGAGTTGCGCCGCAGCAGGTGGTCGCCGATATTCGATCCCGAAAAGGAGCAGCGCGACAGCGTGCCCTACACTGGAACTATACAGAAGTC